TATTACAGTTTCTATAAAACCTTTTATTTTACATGGTGATTGACTCGAGACTTACTGAAAGTACTCAATAAATGAAATAAACCATAAGGTAAATTTATATGGAGAAAAACTAAGGAATGAATATTTCAATTTAAAAACTGATACATATACCCTTGAATAAATATAATAAAGCTTCCTTTTATTACATAGACAACCACACAAAATGGATGTTAAAAAAATCAAATCCTTAGAAGGCGCAAGAAGTTTTACGGGAAGATTTTATATTAATATAGTAAAAATTATTAGATAATTTTTGCAACTAGAAAATTAGTACCATTACTTATGGATACAACCAATGATTTTGACGCATATTTTTAAATCTAATTTAAGCTATACGTGAAAAAAATGGTTTTCTAAGTTGATAGGTGGTAAGGATGCACTTAAGGTGGAAGCGCCAGGGTAGCCCGCGAAATTCAAAATTTCCTACGTTTTTCGCAATTTGCAGGTCAGTGTCAGGTTGTATGTTTAACAAAATATGATTCGCGACCGTAACGAGTATGTATTTACAGAATGATTATATCATCAATACAACCGTCTATGTTCCTATAATTCCAATGTATGGCTATTTCCAGAAAAACTCATTCAAAGGGATTATATTAACTTACCATTATTAGTATTAATTTCAGTTTATATTTTATTTTAACTGAATACACAAAAATAAAAAAAATTAAAGCAGGTATATAGACTATTTAAGTAAACAAACGGGCATATGCTTTGTTTGAAGTTTATAAAATGTTAAAAATAATTATATTCTATACAAAAGATGAAAAACGAAAACGTTGTCCATTTACCTTTTTACCTTTGAGCTGCAAGCTCTCAGTAAATCATATCGGTCTTTTAACTTTGATATTTGCTCACAAGGAAAAGGAATATTGAAAATCCAGTGGCTTTTATTCAATGTGTTAATGCATTATGTTTTGAGTTGAAGCTTATATGAACCTATTAACATATTTTGATTATAGTGAATACTATTTGGTGGTTTAATTTTAATTTAAGCATATTACATTTCTATAAAACATATTTGCTATAGTAAAAAAATTGTACAAGTTCTTCGTGCTAGTGAAAAATAAAAACAATCTTAATAATTACCTAAAACCGTCGTATAATATAGCTACAACATGTTTATAAATTAATCAAAGGTATATGATATGATATGGATGAATTAGTCAATTTAGAGCTCTTACAGTTATGGAACTGTAGTAGCATATCATTTTTTTATAAGATAAGGGTGAAAACGAGCACAGTCCACCTGAAATGGTTGCTGTGGCCCATAGACACTACATCTATCCTCGATTAGACATATATCCTACATCTATCGAAGCATTAAGCAGTGTAAGCAATATGATGTAATAAGTAGCTCTAACACTGTAGTGTATTTACTTGTAGTATAAGACATGTTATTTTTCCGTTTATTAAGATATTTGTCGATTTATTTTATACATAAAGTATGTATATGTAATAGGCCTAAATAAAAATAATCTATAACAAAGGATATTTAAGGTGCATAGAGGAATATAGGCAAAATGTTGCCGCCCCCCTCTCACGGAAGATTTATATCAGATATAAGATATCTGATATAAATAAGAGATACTACCCTCTACAAGAAGCAACAATATTTTCTCCAAATCGTCATTTACTAAACCGAAATGAAGAAAAACAAAGAGTATTAGATTGTAAATTATTCACAACAACTAAGATTCTTGCAATCTGCAAAATTTTGTCACATTTATTTTGAAACATATTCCTCACGATTTTTAATCATAATAACAATGTAAGAAAGCTAATTATAAGTCTAACTAAAAGTTTTTTTGTTTCTTTTCATTCTTTTACATTTAAAAGACATCCACAAAAATGACAAAATTTTACTTGCATACCTTTTGTATATAATTTAAAAAAAAGCAATTTCACACACAACCCTTACATTTTATACCAATTTATATCATTAAGAAAAACCATTTTCAATTTAATTTGCTATATAAATATTTCAAATCTTCACTAGCTTGTTTAAATATACATACAGAATGAAAAAGTAACAAATACCCGTATGTTCCTTTAGGAACACATCATGTATCTAATAATAAAACGAAAGCAGACTGACATTTCTCCTAGGTGGTAACTAGCGTACAACAATTGGATGTTAAAATTAACTATCGACCGCGAGGCACCATTACCTAGATGACGCGCTCGAGTCTTGTCTAATGTTAGACAAATATAGCGCAGTACGCAGCACCCATCAAAAATAGCCAGAGACAACCGAGCTGCCTGTTTTATTAACGTATTGTAGTCGTTTATTGTTATTTCCATTAATTTTCCTGCCATTGATAAATTGGATGCTATGCTTGTACACGTATTATTAAATATAATAACGTAATGTAAAATAGATTTATTAAATCCAAATACATTCGCCATTGAACCCTACTGTTAGATCACAAACTATTGCTTCTATTGCTTCTATGCAATCTCTGACTATTCCTTTTTTTGAATTTTCTCCTGTAACTCAAGATGAAATAGCTAAAGCTGTATTAGCTGTTAATTCCAAGGCGGTAGGTTATGATGAAAGTAGTAAATTTATGATTATTACATTGCTTGATTTCCTTCTGCCAGCTATCACACATGTCATTAATTACTCGCTGGACTCAGGTCAGTATCCAACATTGTGAAAAAAAGATCATATACGCCCTCTCCCAAAAATACCTAAAACTGAACTACCTAATCACTATAGTCCAATTTCTATTCTTCCATATCTCTCTAAAGCTCTGGAACCCTGTGTGCATAAGCAATCATCTATTTTCATAAAAAAATATAACCAGCTGGATATCTTTCAGTCAGAGTTTCGCTCTGGTCACAGTACCACCACTGCACTGATTAAAATCACGGATGATATTAGAAAAGAGATGGATGAACGAAAAGTTACAGTGGTGGCGCTTCTTGACTTTTCAAATGTTTTTAACACAGTCGACCACGATATCCTCCTATACATTTTTACTTATCTCAGATTCTCATCTCCAGCCTTGGAGTGATTCTCATCCTATCTTCGCGGTCGCCAGCAGCTGGTTAGGTTAGGCGAGTAGTTTTCTGCTTGGACTGACGTTAAAACTGGCGTACCGCAAGGCGGTATATTATCTGCAATATTGTTTTCGATTTATATAAACTCAATATCTAATGATTTCAGTTGCTCATACTATCTGTATGCTGACACGAACTTAAAAGCCATCCGTGTCTGGACACATAAATTTGGTGTTTCAGTAAACCCGTCAAAATGTAAAACAATGGTCGTTGGTAGCTCCAGAATGCTGAATATTATTGACTATGGAAATACTTGAACCAGTTTTGTACAATGTAATTTCAATTCCATTTTGTGATTCCATAGTTAATTAGGGTTTGCACATAGATTTATACGTGGTAGAGCCATGCTGCAGCTATATTAGTAGCATAGTTGTAGCACGAATGGGTCGGATCGACCGGGGAAGGACCACGCTCTCACAGTAAAATAGCAGCTTAATACTGCTGTGTTTCGTATGGTGAGTGTAAAGAACCGGAGACCCTTTCTACTGGAAAAGAGGCATTCCATCTTAGTCCTTACGGGTGACAACCCATCTACATTTTTATTCGCAAACGAGGAGAGATGTAGATGTCTATTGGCCACAACAACCACTTACCATCAGGTAGATTGTGTGCTCGTTTGTCACCCTCTCCTATAAAAAATGATCGTTCTATCAACCGGCGAGTACAGATCTCGGAAGTTAGTTGTAAAATCGTTGGCACTCTACGTTCCCTTTATCGTTTTAAAAATTTCTTGCCGTTTAAAACCAAGCTTTTGCAGGTTAATCCCCTTATAGTTACTTCCTATTATAGACTGTCCAGACCTATCGCAAAATCTTCTTAACAAGTTGGAGCGCTTTCTCAACAAATGATTTATCTTCAACTTACGAAAATACGACCACATCACTGCTTTTCGTTCCAAGCTTAAATGGCTTTCTATTGATCAGAGGCGTTGCTCCAGAATCTTACTAACCGTTTTTTCTATGTTAAATGATCCGACGTTTCCTTCTTATCTTAAAGATAACTTCCAATTCGGTATTCAACTCTTGACCGTGAACCTAGTACCACTAACGACCTTAAGATTCATATAACTCAGCATAATACTGGTTTCTTTACTTCTTCATTTACAGTTCAGGCAATAATTCTCTAGAACACCCTGCCCGTTGGTATAAGAAAAGCATTGAATAAGCATGCGCTTAAGAGACTGGTCCGACAACATTATCTTAAGGAAAACTGCATTTGACCGCCGATTTCTATTTTTATTTTTAGTTATTTTATATATTATATCTGCAATATTTATTATACATATTATTATTTAATATTTTTATAATTTATATTATTTTTCTATATTTTTATATACAACATATTATGTCTAGAAGTTTAACATTTTTAGACAGTTGGTAGGTGTCAAAAATGTTAAAATGGCAAAAAACTTTTACTTGTTTAAATCTCTCAGGGTTGACTGGTAGAGAACCAGTCAACCCTGAGAGATTAAGCCATGAGGCATTAAGTCCGCCCATTGTAATCCTTAGATTGAGATGTTATACAATAAAGATTAAATAAATAAATAAATATGGCCGTGCAGTGGCTGTGTAAGATGTTTGAAAGAGCATCAAGTAAGTTTTAATTTAACAAAGAGCCATAGCCCCATATCATGCCGTGGATGTCGGAAGAGGCGATAGCGAGAAAAATAAACAGGAGTTGGGCGGCAGCGTTAATAACAACTAAAAGCAATTTTTAGTTATTTTATATATGACTATGATTTACATATTTCTTCTTTAAATGTCCCTACTTGAGACACAGATTCTAAATGACATTACTCTAAGCAGTTAAGTTGTTATTGCGCAATTTAATTAGGCCAAATATATAAAAATAGGAATTTTTCTTTTTTATAAATCCTTGTTCTTTCTAACTTTCAGATCACCGAATCTCTTAAGCGTCTCCGCGCCAGTAAGAAAACTTCTCGTCTCACTGATGATATTGATTTTGAGAACAGCGTCTCAAATTTTGAAAATCGTATGCGAATTTCTGATAAAATTTTAGAATCTGTAGGAATTGGTCAATCTGATGTAAGCGGAGCTAGACGAGCCCTGCAGGAGAATGAAGAACGCACAGAGAAACGCATTGCACGCAGGCTAAACGAAGACAATTCACTTACTAAGTGGACTGCCTTAAAAAATTTCGATGAAGAAACAGCTGCTGCTCAGCGAGCAAAAGCAACAAGAGCTCGTCTGTCCAACTTAGAAGATGAAATGACTGAACTCTCTGAAAAAAGTGCTGCCAGGGAAAAACGTGCCGCACGTCTACGTGCTTTAGTAGCCGATACTGATTCGTCAGACACTACGATGTCATCCTCAAAAATTACCATTCGCTCAGAGAAGGAAAAGAAACAAGTCACATTTTAAATATGAAAAGCAAAAATATTTTTTAAAACGAATCAACAATCTGCTCTAAACACAAAAGAGTTGTAACAGCGCTGCAAATGGAATATTTTGGAGATAGATGAGTTTTCTAGAATGTGTGATCCTGCATTTGCCATTATACTATGGCCGAGTTGATGTCTATTTTATATTTATTGCATAGAATAAATTGCTAAGTATTACCAATGTTTCATTATCTCTTCATCTTTCTATATAATAGTGGTAAATAATTTATATCATCCATGATAATAATAATAATAATAATAATAATAATAATAATAATAATAATATAAAGTAGCGCCATCCCAGCCTGGAGAAGAAGGATTGAGGACCGTATCGCAAAGGCAAGGGCCCTTATCGGCAGACTGATAAGCTTCAGGTCAGGCAATAATAGGCCGAGAATTGTGCGCACCGTCAGGATGGCGTTTGCTGGGACAAATATCAGTTTGTCCCAGCCGGATATAACGCAAAAACTGACGGAGCGCATAGACGACCTGAAGCAGAGAATCGCTGCTTGGGGGAAGCGGATTCGGCGATATACCGAGAGGTCGACACGGTTCAACCAGAATCGTCTCTTCCAGAGTGATCAGAAGAGGCTCTATGAATCACTGGAGCGACCAATGGTACGTGGAACGGGCCCAGCACCGAATCAGGCCGACACTATCGCATTCTGGCGCGGCCTGTGGTCAGAGCCCGTATACCACAGCGAGGGCCCTTGGACGGAAGTCGTGGCGAGTCAGTGTGCGAATGTTACGCTCATGGACCCCGTCCTCATAACGCCGGATGACGTAGCTGAGGCGGTCCGTAGGGCTCCGTATTGGAAAAGTCCGGGACTCGACGGACTGCATCACTACTGGCTGAAGGGGTTCATGGTGTGTCACGCTGTGCTCGCCCGACAGTTTCAAGAGGCTCTCGACCAAAAGTCGCTCCCGAGCCTCTTCACTACTGGGATCACTCATTTGGTTCCTAAGGACCGGGATTCCACAGACCCAAGCAAATACCGCCCCATAACGTGTCTACCTACCATATACAAGACACTAACATCCATTTTGAGCGCGAGAATCATTCGTCACCTGAACTCAAACCAGGTGATGTCGCGCACTCAAAATGGATGTCGCGGCGGTGGTCGTGGAACCAAGGAACCACTCCTCATTGACGCGGTCATTGGCAAGGTGGTTAAACGCAACCGTCGGAACCTCTCCGTCGCCTGGATAGACTACAAAAAGGCATTCGACTCGGTGTCTCATACATGGCTTAAGAGGGTCCTCGAGCTGTACAAGGTTGACTGTACAGTTCGAGACTTCCTCGGGCAGTGTATGGGGCAATGGAGTACGATCCTTTGTCATCTAGGCGAGTGGATGACGGCTGCGGAGAACCACATAAGGATAAGAAGGGGTATCTTCCAGGGCGATTGTTTGAGTCCAACCTGGTTCTGCCTCTCTCTGAACCCTCTCAGTACCTTACTGGAGGGCTCCGGGAGGGGATTTCAGCTTCGGAGAGGAGGTACAAAAGTGACCTACCTTTTCTATATGGATGATCTCAAATTATTCGCCTCCAGTCGCTCTCATCTTATGGAATTGCTAAACATCACTTGTGATTTTAGCAATTCTATTAGAATGGAGCTGGGGACGGATAAGTGTGCGATCCTCCATGTCGAAAGGGGAAGGGTTGCTAACTCTGAGGGCATAGACTTATCTACTATGCCCATCAGCATAAGGACCCTTTCCGAGGCTGAAACATACCGATACCTGGGTATTTCACAGAACATAGGTGTAGATGAGTCGGGTATGAAACGGTCAGTTTGCGATGTGTTTTATGCACGCTTGACCAAAGTGCTTAATAGCCTTTTGTCCGGTGTGAATAAGACGCACGCATTTAACGTGTGGCGGCGCTGTCGTCGCGCCACAAGCGAAACCCATCGAAGCCTAAATCGCGCTATCAAAGTTCCGAAATCAAAGCAGCATATATAGAATAGCTCCGAACTACCAATCGGAGCGTTGGCCGCTCCCCGGGCAGAACACCTTGCCCGGCGGGAGATCTCCCCTTTTCCTTCCACCCGCTACAGTGGTGACCCCGACGTGATATGAACACGCAACCAACAACCTTCGGAAATTACACCTTCAAACCTTCATCATCCTTAAGTACCCCATTCATTCGCTCCCGAGCAGACATTGTCTGCAGTCTTCACATTCTGCAAGCCATCCAGCTTTACAATGGTTCATCACAGCACTGGAATAATAATGCTTCCTGTTCCTTCAAGCTACTCTCTGCGCTACAGTGTTCAGCACGGCTCTGAGCCTTACTGCTCGCCTCTGCTTCACGGCACTCTCGCAGATTACTTGCCTTCTTCTCGACTTACCACAGATTACAAGGCAATCCCTGGCACTTGCTCCGGCTCATCGTTCTCACCGGCATCACTTGCAAGTGCGTAGTACGGCATGCATTACACACCGGCATATCATACGCACCGGCGTCACTTGCCCTTACGCACACAGCATGCATTCCCCACCGGCATTAAGGACGCACCGGCAATCGGACTGCACTATCGACCTCCGGTCTGAGCAGGGGGGTGATGTGGCGGCGCTGTCGTCGCGCCACAAGCGAAACCCATCGAAGCCTAAATCGCGCTATCAAAGTTCCGAAATCAAAGCAGCATATATAGAATAGCTCCGAACTACCAATCGGAGCGTTGGCCGCTCCCCGGGCAGAACACCTTGCCCGGCGGGAGATCTCCCCTTTTCCATCCACCCGCCACAAACGGTTGGATCATGCCTGTTCTCATGTATACCTTTGGCATACTCAGGTGGACTCAGACTGAACTGAACGCTCTGGACAGACAAGTCCGCACTATAATGACGTCCCACAGGATGCATCATCCGAGATCGTCAGTAATGAGGCTGTACTTGCCGCGAAAACATGGTGGGCGCGGCTTTTTAAGCGCGCTTATCATGCATAATCGCGAAGTGTGCAGCCTCCGTAATTACTTTCTGACGAGAGCGGATGATCCATACCATAGGGACGTTATTTCTTGTGATAAAGGGCTAACCCCTCTATCCTTAGCCAACGAGCAATGGCAAGACCCGGCAATACAGAGCATTTCCGACCGGGAGACCGTATGGAAGGAGAAGGAGCTCCACGGGAGGTTCTACAAGGCCCTTCATGAGCCTTTCGTAGACACAGTCGCCTCCCTCCACTGGCTACGTTTCAGTGACCTCTTTGGGGAAACTGAGGGTTTTGTCTGTGCAATACAGGATCAGGTTATTAAGACCAACAATTATCGGAGATACATCCTAAAGGATGGCACCGTCGACATCTGTCGAGCTTGTCGCCATCCCGGTGAGTCACTTAGGCATGTCATCTCCGGTTGTTCGGCGCTTTCTAACTCTGAGTATTTGCACAGACACAACCTAGTAGCCAGGATTCTACACCAGGAGCTCGCTCTGAAATGCGGTCTCGTGGATCGGAAACTGCAATATTATAAGTACTTGCCGCAAGCCGTGCTCGAAAATGACCGCGCCAGGCTCTACTGGGACCGGGCCATCATCACAGACAGGACTATTCTTGCGAATAAGCCTGATATTGTGCTGATGGACCGGGCACAGTCAAGGATATTTTTGGTCGACATTACCATTCCCTATGACGAGAACCTCGTGAAAGCCGAAACAGATAAGCTGACAAAATATCTGGACCTGGCTCACGAGGTGACCGACATGTGGGGTGGTCTGCCGGCCGAAATTATTCCTGTGGTCGTTTCTGCGATCGGGTTAATCCCAGTTAGCCTCTCGGGTCATCTGAGGCGACTGGGACTCCGTGACGGACCGCTCCAAGCTCAAATGCAGAAGGCGGTGCTCCTCGATACCGCCCGCATCGTCCGCCGGTTTCTTTCCCTTTCCCCCTAACCCTCGGCCGTTTGGTCTCCCCTGCCGAGGGCTTCCATCTGGTTGGGTTTTTATATATTTATGTATTTTTTATGTATTTATTTTATTTTATTGATATTTATGTAAGTTTATATATTTTGTTTATAATTATATATTTAAACAGCCCAACCAGATGAGAAAACTTTATAGATAACCCCAATAATAATATATCCAACTTTAATATAATGGACTTCCGCAAAGTAACGCCTGATTTTATTAATTAAATTACTCAATGAACAAACATTCAGACCCGTAACAATTATTTGTAAGTCTTACATATAATGATTTCTTATATTTACGCGAACACTACACATTTAAATAAAACTAATTTTACGGATTTTATCGCGTATATTAACTTATTTTACTTTCCCGACGTTTCAAGCATTTTACAGCACCCATGGTCACGGGGGGGACTGAGGTGTGTGACGTCCCAATGTCATAGTTAACCACGGCTACCTCCAGATTAAAATTATTAATTTTTGTTCCGATCTACGCAGTATGAACTTACAGTATCATGAAGTCTTGCAGTTGTATGCTTGGGTTGGGATTTAATTTTATTAATTATGGGATCCCAAGCAGATGGTAGCACCCAGCCATCTTCTCTATTGAAATTAGGATGTTTTTTGATTTCAATAGCCTCGCGAATCATCCTTGGAAGGAATCGGTGTTCTTTAGCGAGGATTTGTGGTCTATCAAATCTAATGTAGTGACGGGGGCGATCCTGTACGTGTTCACAGACTGCAGACTTCCCGGAGCGTCTATTCTTCACATCAGCTATGTGTTCTTTAACGCGGGTTTTTATGGATCTTTTAGTTTGTCCTATATAAGAGAGACCACATTCACAATCCAGCTTGTACACTCCTGCATCTTGCAGAGGAATATTACACTTGACTGATGGTAAAAACTGACTAATCTTCTTCGGCGGCTTGAAATATGTTTTAATGGAAGCACGCTTCAAGATGTAGCCAATCTTGTCAGTGACACCTCTGACATATGGCAGTACAGCAGGCACTCGCTCGACTGTGGCCGGCTTCACTCGTTCACTGTGACGTAGGCGCGGGACCCGAA